TTTTTTTCTACTCTTTTAGGTGTATTTTGTGCAAGAAATTGCAATAAAATAGTCTGCCTAAGAAATATTGAATTTTTTTGAAAAATTTTTTTTTACGAAAATCGCTTTAATGGTCATAAAATTGGTGTTCCTCTACTCGGATCGGGCTGTCAATTTTTTTCTACTCTTTTGGGTGTATTTTGTGCAAGAAATTGCAATAAAATAGTCTGCCTAAGAAATATTGAATTTTTTAACAAAATTTTTTTTTACGAAAATCGCTTTAATGGTCATAAAATTGGTGTTCCTCTACTCGGATCGGGCTGTCAATTTTTTTCTACTCTTTTGGGTGTATTTTGTGCAAGAAATTGCAATAAAATAGTCTGCCTCAGAAATATTGAATTTTTTTGAAAAATTTTTTTTTACGAAAATCGCTTTAATGGTCATAAAATTGGTGTTCCTCTACTCGGATCGGGCTGTCAATTTTTTTCTACTCTTTTGGGTGTATTTTGTGCAAGAAATTGCAATAAAATAGTCTGCCTAAGAAAAATTGAATTTTTCTAAAAAAATTTTTTTTACGAAAATCGTTTTAATGGTCATAAAATTGGTGTTCCTCTACTCGGATCGGGCTGTCAATTTTTTTCTACACTTTTGGGTGTATTTTGTGCAAGAAATTGCAATAAAATAGTCTGCCTAAGAAAAATTGAATTTTAAAAAAAAAATTTTTTTTACGAAAATCGCTTTAATGGTCATAAAATTGGTGTTCCTCTACTCGGATCGGGCTGTCAATTTTTTTCTACTCTTTTGGGTGTATTTTGTGCAAGAAATTGCAATAAAATAGTCTGCCTAAGAAATATTGAATTTTTTAAAAAAATTTTTTTTTACGAAAATCGCTTTAATGGTCATAAAATTGGTGTTCCTCTACTCGGATCGGGCTGTCAATTTTTTTCTACACTTTTGGGTGTACTTTGTGCAAGAAATTGCAATAAAATAGTCTGCCTAAGAAAAATTGAATTTTTCTAAAAAATTTTTTTTTACGAAAATCGCTTTAATGGTCATAAAATTGGTGTTCCTCTACTCGGATCGGGCTGTCAATTTTTTTCTACACTTATGGGTGTACTTTGTGCAGGAAAATGCAATAAAATAGTCTGCCTAAGGAAAATTGAATTTTTTTGAAAAATTTTTTTTACGAAAATAGCTTTAATGGTCATAAAATTGGTGTTCCTCTACTCGGATCGGGCTGTCAATTTTTTTCTACTCTTTTGGGTGTATTTTGTGCAAGAAATTGCAATAAAATAGTCTGCCTAAGAAATATTGAATTTTTTTGAAAAATTTTTTTTTACGAAAATCGCTTTAATGGTCATAAAATTGGTGTTCCTCTACTCGGATCGGGCTGTCAATTTTTTTCTACTCTTTTGGGTGTATTTTGTGCAAGAAATTGCAATAAAATAGTCTGCCTAAGAAATATTGAATTTTTTTGAAAAATTTTTTTTTACGAAAATCGCTTTAATGGTCATAAAATTGGTGTTCCTCTACTCGGATCGGGCTGTCAATTTTTTTCTACTCTTTTGGGTGTATTTTGTGCAAGAAATTGCAAAAAAATAGTCTGCATAAGAAAAATTGAATTTTTTTGAAAAATTTTTTTTACGAAAATAGCTTTAATGGTCATAAAATTGGTGTTCCTTTACTCGGATCGGGCTGTCAATTTTTTTCTACACTTTTGGGTGTACTTTGTGCAAGAAATTGCAATAAAATAGTCTGCCTAAGAAAAATTGAATTTTTTTGAAAAATTTTTTTTTACGAAAATCGCTTTAATGGTCATAAAATTGGTGTTCCTCTACTCGGATCGGGCTGTCAATTTTTTTCTACACTTATGGGTGTACTTTGTGCAGGAAAATGCAATAAAATAGTCTGCCTAAGGAAAATTGAATTTTTTTGAAAAATTTTTTTTACGAAAATCGCTTTAATGGTCATAAAATTGGTGTTCCTCTACTCGGACCGGGCTGTCAATTTTTTTCTACTCTTTTGGGTGTATTTTGTGCAAGAAATTGCAATAAAATAGTCTGCCTAAGAAAAATTGAATTTTTTAAAAAAATTTTTTTTTACGAAAATCGCTTTAACGGTCATAAAATTGGTGTTCCTCTACTCGGATCGGGCTGTCAATTTTTTTTACTCTTTTGGGTGTATTTTGTGCAAGAAATTGCAATAAAATAGTCTGCCTAAGAAATATTGAATTTTTTAACAAAATTTTTTTTTACGAAAATCGCTTTAATGGTCATAAAATTGGTGTTCCTCTACTCGGATCGGGCTGTCAATTTTTTTCTACTCTTTTGGGTGTATTTTGTGCAAGAAATTTCAATAAAATAGTGTGCCTAAGAAATATTGAATTTTTTTGAAAAATTTTTTTTACGAATATCGCTTTAATGGTCATAAAATTGGTGTTCCTCTACTCGGATCGGGCTGTCAATTTTTTTCTACTCTTTTGGGTGTATTTTGTGCAAGAAATTGCAATAAAATAGTCTGCCTCAGAAATATTGAATTTTTTTGAAAAATTTTTTTTTACGAAAATCGCTTTAATGGTCATAAAATTGGTGTTCCTCTACTCGGATCGGGCTGTCAATTTTTTTCTACTCTTTTGGGTGTATTTTGTGCAAGAAATTGCAATAAAATAGTCTGCCTAAGAAAAATTGAATTTTTTAAAAAAATTTTTTTTTACGAAAATCGCTTTAACGGTCATAAAATTGGTGTTCCTCTACTCGGATCGGGCTGTCAATTTTTTTTACTCTTTTGGGTGTATTTTGTGCAAGAAATTGCAATAAAATAGTCTGCCTAAGAAAAATTGAATTTTTTAAAAAAATTTTTTTTTACGAAAATCGCTTTAACGGTCATAAAATTGGTGTTCCTCTACTCGGATCGGGCTGTCAATTTTTTTTACTCTTTTGGGTGTATTTTGTGCAAGAAATTGCAATAAAATAGTCTGCCTAAGAAATATTGAATTCTTTAACAAAATTTTTTTTTACGAAAATCGCTTTAATGGTCATAAAATTGGTGTTCCTCTACTCGGATCGGGCTGTCAATTTTTTTCTACTCTTTTGGGTGTGTTTTGTGCAAGAAATTGCAATAAAATAGTCTGCCTAAGAAATATTGAATTTTTTTGAAAAATTTTTTTTACGAAAATCGCTTTAATGGTCATAAAATTGGTGTTCCTCTACTCGGACCGGGCTGTCAATTTTTTTCTACTCTTTTGGGTGTGTTTTGTGCAAGAAATTGCAATAAAATAGTCTGCCTAAGGAAAATTGAATTTTTTTGAAAAATTTTTTTTACGAAAATCGCTTTAATGGTCATAAAATTGGTGTTCCTCTACTCGGATCGGGCTGTCAATTTTTTTCTACTCTTTTGGGTGTATTTTGTGCAAGAAATTGCAATAAAATAGTCTGCCTAAGGAAAATTGAATTTTTTTGAAAAATTTTTTTTTACGAAAATCGCTTTCATGGTCATAAAATTGGTGTTCCTCTACTCGGATCGGGCTGTCAATTTTTTTCTACACTATTAGGTGTATTTTGTGCAAGAAATTGCAATAAAATAGTCTGCCTAAGAAATATTGAATTTTTTTGAAAAATTTTTTTTACGAAAATCGCTTTAATGGTCATAAAATTGGTGTTCCTCTACTCGGATCGGGCTGTCAATTTTTTTCTACACTTTTGGGTGTATTTTGTGCAAGAAATTGCAATAAAATAGTCTGCCTAAGAAAAATTGAATTTTTTAAAAAAATTTTTTTTTACGAAAATCGCTTTAATGGTCATAAAATTGGTGTTCCTCTACTCGGATCGGGCTGTCAATTTTTTTCTACTCTTTTGGGTGTATTTTGTGCAAGAAATTGCAATAAAATAGTCTGCCTAAGAAAAATTGAATTTTTTTGAAAAATTTTTTTTTACGAAAATCGCTTTAATGGTCATAAAATTGGTGTTCCTCTACTCGGATCGGGCTGTCAATTTTTTTCTACACTTATGGGTGTACTTTGTGCAGGAAAATGCAATAAAATAGTCTGCCTAAGGAAAATTGAATTTTTTTGAAAAATTTTTTTTACGAAAATCGCTTTAATGGTCATAAAATTGGTGTTCCTCTACTCGGATCGGGCTGTCAATTTTTTTCTACTCTTTTGGGTGTATTTTGTGCAAGAAATTGCAATAAAATAGTCTGCCTAAGGAAAATTGAATTTTTTTGAAAAATTTTTTTTTACGAAAATCGCTTTCATGGTCATAAAATTGGTGTTCCTCTACTCGGATCGGGCTGTCAATTTTTTTCTACACTATTAGGTGTATTTTGTGCAAGAAATTGCAATAAAATAGTCTGCCTAAGAAATATTGAATTTTTTTGAAAAATTTTTTTTTACGAAAATCGCTTTAATGGTCATAAAATTGGTGTTCCTCTACTCGGATCGGACTGTCAATTTTTTTCTACCCTTTGGGGTGTATTTTGTGCAAGAAATTGCTATAAAATAGTCTGCCTAAGAAAAAAAATTTCTGATGGTATTCCGACGGAATTTCGATTAATTTTTTTCAAAATTTTTAGAGACCTAATTCCGTCGAAATTCCGTCAGAATCGCATCGAAAATTCTTTGGAACCCCTATGGAATTCCGACGGAATTCTGATAGAACCTCCAGGGGGCACTTTCCGGGGAATCTTTCCATGTGGGTGGTATGAAGTTTTTCTTTTTATTGGCGAATTTTTCGAATGTTTTTTGTATTTAGCGTTCAGTAGTAAAAGTATGTTGCATTTAGACATCATATATTTTTATTAATCTTATGCATTAGTTATAAAAAAGTAGGTTTTAGACTGATAAAAAAATTTTAATTCCGACATAATATTTTTATTCTTCAAATTTGAGAATATGTAATAAAATTTTGGTTATAGTCAGACAAAATTATGTATAAATCATATAGTAGAAACGAAATATGAATAAAAATTAATTTCTAGTTTATCAATTATTTTTTTCATCATGGCAAGTAATAAAACAACAGATATCATTTTTTCGTTCAATTTTAATATCATAACCCTGCCAAATACATTAGTAATAATATTCATTATTATAATAATAGTAATAATATAATAATAGCAATAATAATAATAATAGTAATAATAAAATAATAATATAATAATAATAATAATAATAAAATAATAATAATATAATAATAGTAATAATAATATAATAATAATTATCGACATATTGTAATAAACATAATAGTACCATTGAGAGAGGTGGTAGTAGTAATAATGAGGATGATAATAACATCTAAAATATTGAACCATTATCTCGATAATAGTAAAATTATCGAAGGTGAAAAAAAGGTGTAATATTGTGTCTACGCGCAATTATGATTGTGATTGGCATAAAAGAAACGCGCATTTTAATGCATTGTGCTTTCAGCGATTTTAATGCAGTGACGGATACTCATAATATGCACGTACATCTGATTTTTCTATAATATGATACAATATATGATTCTGAAAATGCGAATCTGTGAAGGTCGTTCATCGAACTATACAATATATTACGCGTTTGACATTCTTTCATTAATATTTATATATGCGTTTACAGAACATAGAAAAAATCCACATACATGCGCGACATATTTTTTTTAAAATAAATATATCATTTTTCTCTCTTTTTTTTTTATTCGCTCCGCTTTCTGCTCTCGCTCGATTATTTTTTTTTCTCTTTCTCGCCCCACCAAAAAAAAAAATATACAGACGGCGTTTTTTTCTCACGCAATAAATAAATTATTTATAAACTTTCGCAAATAAGTTGATAATATTAAGATGAGAAGAAAATGAATCTATGATATATAGGAAATTATTATTGCTACCCGCCAATGAACCTGACCTTTGCCTATAGCCGTTATTATTAGGCTATATATGTGTTCAGTATAGTTTTTTTTAAACAATAATTCTTATTACAATAAATGAACGTAAAAAGCTAAAATAATGCCTTCATTTATACAATAAGTCGTAGTATATTATTATCGCTATATGTATGTTATCGTTGAAGCGCAATTTATTCAATATTAGTAATATTGAAATTTATTTAATTAATTAAGTAGATACACCCGCAGAAAAAAATTTTTAATTGTCTCAGAGTCTAATAAATTTTTATGTGTTTAATATATAAAAAAAAATTATTTTGCGCAAATAAAATTTTATTCAACAGAAAGAAATTTTTATTTAGCACAAATAAAATTTTATTCAGCACAAAGAAAATTTTATTCAGTACAAATAAAATTTTATTTAGCACAAATCAAATTTTATTCAGCACAAAGAAAATTTTATTCAGCACAAAGAAAATTTTATTTAGCACAAATAAAATTTTGTTCAGCAGAAATAAAATTTCATTCAGCACAAAGAAAATTTTATTTAGCACAAATAAAATTTTATTTAGCAGAAATAAAATTGATTTGAAACAAATAAATATTTATTTGTGCTAAATAACATTTTAATTGTGCTGAAAAAAAATTTATTTAGGGCAAATATAATTTTATTTAACACAAATAAAATTTTAATTACCACAAATAAAATTTTATTTAGCTCAAATAAAATTGATTTCAAACAAATAATTATTTCTTTTTCCTCTGAGATAAATAGATCTTTTCTCTAGGTGTATCTATTATTAATAAAAAAAAGAAATTAAATATAATTCATTTCTATATCAATTAAATTTTATTAATATTTCATTGATATTTTTATTTGTTTTACTCAGAAATAATTACGCAATTATTAATTTCATAAAATTAGTCAACTATGCAGAATTTCTTTTTATGTTTATGTTTTTTTCTATATTAATTTTTAAAAATTCAATATTAATAATATTGAATATTATTCGCGATACATTTAAGAATAATTAGATGTAATGACGCGTGAAATTTATTTATTTTTTTTTCACGGAAAGATTAATTTTGAAATGGAAAATGTCACTTTTCATAAAATACAATTTTTCAAATCGAATTTTTTTTTATTTTTTATTTTTTTTTATTATTCACGCGCCTGTTAATCCGTGCGAGATCCGAGAGAATTACTGGCCCCTTTTGTTTATTGATGAAAAAAAAAAATTATAATAGGTAACCAGCGAACTGTTCGATCCAACAAGATAGAAATTTGAATAAAAAAAAACTTAGAAAAAAAATCCATTTTTTCTTTAATTGAAGAGAAAAAAGGGAAATTATTTTTTTTCTCTCTTGTTGATTCGTGCACTTGATTGGCTATCTGTAAACGCTATTTACAACTAATATTTCGTATCGTAATAATAACAAGGGTGACTTAAAAATATTTTCCTTTACTTATTTTCCTCTTTTATTTAATTTTTTTTCAAATATATTTATAAATTATAATTAATTACTTATAATTAGCTACTTTATTAACTAATTATTTAAATAATTAATTTATTACACCTAGAGAAATTATATATTTGTCTCACAGGCTAATAAATATTTATTTGATTGAAATAAATTTTTATTTGATTTAAATAAAAAATTTGATTTACGCCAAATAAATAGGCGAGACAAATATACATTTATTTAACTCAAATATATTATATTTAGTTCAAATAAAAAATTACTCTGGGTGTAACTTTTTTTTTTTTTATTATTAAGTAGTCATTTACTGCTTTATTAATAATTTATCAATAATAAATTTTGTAATGTTTTTTTTTTTTTTTTTTTTTTTTTTGAAAAATTTGTGTATTACAAATCAGTTGAAAAAATTTTTTGAGAGCAATGTGTAAATTAAATAAAAGCAGATGTGAAGGAAATATTTTTTTTTAGTCACCTTATACTTAATTATTTAAAAGACATAATATCCCGCATACTTCAGTATCCACATCTAACCCACTACTATTGTTATTCCCAGTAAAGAACAGATATATGAAAAATGCTAAATGTGCTTTTTTCCCTCAATATACATCCAGAGAAATGATTTATTTGAACCAAATAAAATATATTTGAGTTAAATAAACGTATATTTATCTCAGAGACTACTAACTAATTTATTTGGCGTAAATAAAAATTTTATTTGTCAGAAATAAATTTTTCTTTGACTCAAATAAATTTTTTTATTTCAATGAAATGAAATATATTTGCAACAAATAAATGAATTAGTAGGCTCGGAGACAAATATACCATTTCTCTGAGTGTAGAGGAAATAATGAATATTGCATATTGAATGATCATTTTTAATGTAGGTATAGGAAAGCACAAAAAAAAATGTTTGTGTCTCAGCATTTGAGCTTGATCGCAGTTTAATAAGATACAATAATCTATATATATATGTGCTTTATATATAAATAGGATTGGTACAAATACTGGCCCTAGAGATTTTTGCAATGCTTCAGTAGTGTTCTTTTTTTTTTTTTTTTTACTGCAGATTTGTGGATTTTTTTTTTCATTTTATTTATTTTTTTAAATTCTCTTAAAAAAAAGAATCATATCATCTTTTATTAAAGAATTCTTTCGCTTTGTCTTGAATTCTAGAACGAATTCAATTTTCGTTTCAATTGCTAATTTATTCAACTAGACTGAGTCTTTTACATATATATGTATTTTATTTTTTTTACACATATATATATATATATATATATATATATATATATATATATTATGTGAATCCTCTTATAATTTGAAATAAGTCGAAAATTATTAGGCAAATATATATATATATACGAAACAACGATTCGCCGAAACGAGCATTTTTTAAAAAAAATTATTTTGTAAAGAAAATTTTGTAATTAATTCGCGAGATGATTTGCTTAAGTTATTATTGCTTATTATTTAATTGAAAATTTCAATGTCAAGTCGGAGACATTGAAGCGTGTGAATTAATATTGCAAAAATTCCCTAGAAAATTTTTTCTGTACACTTATAATATATATATATATATTTTCAAAGATATGACGGATCATTATACATCTATTGTGCGCGATACAAGTGCATAATATATATATATAAATGTACTTAACCATTAGAGAATCAAGATGACAACAATTGTTTATAATACAAAAATTGCATTTTTTGTCATCTTTATTTTCTATTGGTTTTGCATCAATCTCGTCGCCATTTTTTTTTTATTAAAGTCTCTTAAGGCACTTGAAATGCTAATTTTTCTGGGTGGAGCCTTTCAAAAAAAAAAAAAAAAAAATTATATATTTTTTTTTTTTATAAAGCATGACGCTCCTTTTTTCGTATTTCTATACGTTTTTAAAAATGAAATTTCTTTTTTAATAAAAAAAAACAAGTTAACAAAATTGTCATTATACTTTTTTCCAAACTCGTAAAACTCGTAAATAAAAAAAAATATTTTTTTAAATAAAAAATCGGAAATTTAATTTTTGCAATATTTTTTCTTAAAGAAATTTTTTTATATTTTACACTAGAATTTTCAATATTATTAATTTATTATTAATTTTGTTTATTCACCGTTTCATAAAATATTATGATAAAAAGTAACAGTTTAGTAAAATTTTAACAAAATTTAATTTTTGACTAACAACCCTTACGAAAAATTATTTTTATATATTTTCTTTTTTTTTTCATCAAAAACCAAATTATTTCTTTATAGATATAGTTTTGGAAAAAAAAAATGTTGAAAAAAGTTTTTGTAAAATTATTTTATTTTCTCTATTTGTCCAAAACAAGCATTTTCCAATTGGATTTTTTAATTCTCAAAAATTTGCTAAGCATTTTTGTTTTAAATTTCAAAAATATTGAAAATCAAAAACAAAAAAAATTTCTATATTTCTGAAAATAATTTAAGAAAAAAAAAAAAAGTGTGGCCAACTTGATGATTTTATAAATTCTTAAGGCACTAGCAACAGACTTAAAATCTAACATAACGCCCATTTTTTTTTTTTTTTTCATCTTAAAATTAGAAGGCACTACACGTAATTATAATATTTTACCGCATTTTTCGAGTTTAATTTATACACATATATATGAAATATAATGATAAAACTGGCTCTGGTACAAACTGGCATTTCATGACAATTTTTTTTTTTAAATAATAACTTAAAAGTAAAAAAAAAATCTTTACTATGAATTTTTTAAATTCTTTTCACAATTGCTCGTTCGAAGAATCGTTCACAGCACAGTGAATAAGTTAGCTTATATGCAATTTTAGTATTGGAAATTATTATCTAAAATTATTTTTTGTCAAGTTTTTTTTTTTAAATTATTATTTATTCTTTAATTAATATTAAATTTATTTTAAATTAATTAACTAGTCTTCAAAATTTAACAGCGCAATTTGTTTTAAAATTTATTTTAAAAATTCATTTCAATCTATAGTAGGAATTTAGTCGAAAATTATATTTGAATTTTATTTTATGAATTAATTAATTCATTATTTTAATTTTTAAAATCAATTCGGTAAATATATTTTTAAAAAAACGGTTTAAAATAATAAGCGATTGTTCTGCTCATAATTATTATATCGTCATTAATCTAATAAAATAAAAACTCTGATTTACAAATAAATATACATGAAAAATATATTAATTTGTTGATTTTCCTTTAAACCATTTTGGTGGAACAATTTTTTTTTTTTATTTTTTTTTTAAATTAAAAATAGTAAGCTTTTGTACATAACATACTTGTTTGTTATATTTACATATGTGCAGTATGTTTAGCGCTAAAACAAAAAACCCCCCCAAAAAAAAATAATAGTAAAGCTATATAGTTTTCTTAATTTTCGAAAAATTTCTGATAAAATTGAGTCCATAGGTAATATATATCTAAATTTTTTTTTTTCCCTAATCAGCAAAAAAGGTGCAAAGACAATATTTTGCTTTGTAAATTATTTCTCTAAATCGTCGAGAATCGATAAAATAATTTTTTTATTTAGTAATAATAAATTTATAATTTAATAAAAAATTAATATTATTGATAATAATTTAATATTCAAAAAATTTTTTTCTAATTTTTATGTTCTTTTTCTTATAAATCTAATTTTTTTTGAAAAAATGATTAATTTTATTAAGATTTAGAGAGAAAATACAATGAACATTTTTTTTTGTGATTGCACCTTCGACTTTGGCACCTTTTTAGGCTATATATATATATTAGAAACGATATAAGACGTATATAATAGTATGATAGATTCTTCAATAAACTGGCATCAATAAAGTCCTATATAGAAATTTTCCTAATTTTTTTTTAAAAAATTATTATTATAAAAGAAAGGAGAAAAAAGAGGAAAACATATTTTTATCGCCACACACAAAAAAAAAGGAAAGAATTTTTTAAATGTACATTATTTTATAATGTAACATTTGTATAATACTGAATTTTTTTTTAGAATATCTAATTTCATCAATGCGGATCATCAATGATTGTCCTTTTTTTCAAAACGCAAAATTCTTTGTGCACTTTGAATATTTTTTTTTTTCTTCTTTATGCTATCAAAGATTATTTGAAAATGTTTGACCATCACGATTTTTTTTTATTTAACTGAGCATGCTAAGTCCCAAGCTCCGTTATTCGGAGTTCTATTTATCATTTTATCACTTATAATAATAATAATTATACCCATTAAAATCTACCTTTAAAATTTACTGTACTGGCTCTATTTTTTTCACAATATATATATATATATTTATAATTATAATAATAATGTGCTCTAGACTAGTTGAGCTGGCCTTATTTAAAAAATATTAAATAAATTGGAATTTCAACAAATTAAAAAAATTGGCTAGAAAACAGAAATTATAATAATAATGCTCCTTCAAAAAAAAAAAAAAAAAAAAATTGAATCATGCTGAACCCGCAGCAAGTTCTGCTCATTTATATTAGAGCAGATCACAAATTTTCTAGATGAGTCTTGGACGCTTTATGAATATTTAAAAAAAAAAAAAAAGTTATCTAACGAACTTTTTAGTTGAGACGAGCGATCAGAAATAGTAATTAGTTAACAAATTTTCATTCTCCCTTAAAATTTATTTTTTTTTTTTATAAATATTAATAGCTAAATTTAGAAAATGCATCACAGCTAATTTTTTTTTTTTACATCGTCGACAACAACCAAATTGTTCGCTACGATTTGAAAGTTAAGCTTTTTTTAAGGGGGGGGGGAAAGGGGGACGCACAATTTTCGAAAGGCACTTCGAGAACGCTTCGCGACCTTCGATATTTTTTTTTTTTTTTCATTAGACGGCCGATATTGTGAAAAATATTTATATACATTTTAAAATATATAGCAGATAATCATCAATCAATTTATGTGCACATATTTTGATAAGTATAGATAGAAAGTTGTTGATTAATGATTTCTGTAAGAGAGAATCGATTTCCCAGTGGGTATATGCTATATATATATATATTTTTTTTTTGAGGAGGTAGCCTTATCACAGACGTAATTTTTTTAAATCAAAAAACAAAAAAAATTTCTTAGTTACAAATTATTAATTTTTTAATATTTTCAAAATTAGAGAATTAAATTGATGTTTAGAAAAATTGAAATTTTCAGAATAAAAACAATTCTTTGATGGAATGATAATAATAAGGATTTTGAATTCAATATTTGTATTTCGAATTTTTTTCTGTATTTGTGATCTCGATTTTCCTCGCGACACCACTGAGGAACCAATTTTCTTCTTCTAATATTTATTCAGTGAAAACGTGATCGAAGGTCCTCTCGCAGCATTAGAAACAGTTTTTTCTTTTTTTTTTTTCTTACTAAGGGTTCGCGCAATCCTCACAACAATCAAAATTAATAACTCTCTTCTTTTTTTTTTCTTGCATATTATAATAAACTCTAAACCTAGTGAACGTTTTTATTATTATTTTCTTTTGCTAGATTCTCTCCTCCCAAAAAAATAGATGAACCAGAGTATTTGCAGTTGTGGGGAAAAAAAAAAAAAAATTTCTTTCTGGTCAGTGAGAGGAGATTTTTCATCAGGTCCCGAATGTATTCATCAGCGTCGGCGCATGTTGAATCAGTAGACTGCTACTAGTCGAATAAACCATCATCAATGCCTCTTCATGTGAAGGGACAAATGATCGCTACGCGAAAAAGATCGTTGGCAAAGATGGCACTTGAACGGTTTCTGTCCAGTGTGCTTGCGATAATGCCGCGTTAGCTCGTCCGAGCGAGCAAATTTCCACGTACATCCTTCCCACGTGCACTGATACGGCTTTTCGCCTGTAACAAAAAAGTAATTTAACTTTTTTTTTGTAACTCGTGATATTCTCTCAATGAAAAGTTTCTTTTTAAATTAAAAATTTTTATTTTTAATATTTCAAAAAGAATTTATTTGCGCAGTACAGGTAAGTGCAGTTTCAACTAATTTACCAAAGAACCAAAATTTAGTTTTATAATAATAATAATAATATAATAATATATAATAATTATTATTTTTGTATTCTTTAAATAGACTGTCACGCCATCCACAAAGAAAACGAGATGATTGGTTGACAAACCCTAATTACGAAAAACAAATTAGACGAGTTGCTGACAAAATCCACAAAGCTCAATGTATTCTTTGCCACTCCAGCTCCATATATCTGATCAAAAACAGTTTTTCATCCATTTGCTTGGAGCTGCTGTAGAATCGAATACAATAACTGATAATAACCAACAACAACAGGTATAATATCTATACTTTCTATAAATATAACAGTCAATATAAATGAGAGTTTTTAATTTAAAAAAATATTTTTATTTTTGAGTATCACTTTTTTATGTTATAGAATTTTGCCGATATTCAAGAAACAGGAGGTACAGACAAGGATCCGTATAATTCAAAGGCTGTAGAAAGCAATACAAAGGACAACAGCACAGAGGATGATGGAACAAACTAGAGCTGATTAGTTTTACAATAAAGTGATATTAGATTCTGTATTTAAATTTTTACGTTCAGGTTTATTCAAAGTTGTTTCCAAAGATTTAATAAAAAAGCTTTCCAATGTATTCAATTTGTCATTTTTCTCAACATTGATTTTAAGAAACTCCAATACATAATTTTTCAATTTCTCCTATCCACCTACAACTTAAAATTAACAATTTACTTTAAAATTCAATGAAAAAGAATGAGAACATTTGAATTTTTAAAATAGGCGGATGCGCAGTCATTGTACATTCAATTTAGAGACAACTCCGCCATCTTCATGTTCTCCTGATACTTAAAATTAAAAATTTCTTTTAAATTTCATTGAAAATGCATCAAAACATTTAAATTTTTGAAATAGGCGCATGCGCAGTTATTGAAATTCAATTAAGAGAACACTCCTCCATCTTGATGTTCTCCTAATACTCAAACTTAAAAATTTCTTTTAAATTTCATTGAAAATGCATCAAAACATTTAAATTTTTGAAATAGGCGCATGCGCAGTTATTAAGATTCAATTTAGAGAACACTCCTCTATCTTGATGTTCTCCTGATACTTAAAATTAAAAATTTCTTTTAAATTTTATTAAAAATGCATCAAAACATTTGAATTTTTGAAACAGACGCATGCGCAGTCATTGTACATTCCATTTAGAGAACACTCCTCCATCTTGATGTTCTCCTAATACTCAAAATTAAAAATTTCTTTTAAATTTCATTGAAAATGCATCAAAACATTTGAATTTTTGAAATCGGCGCATGCGCAGTTATTAAAATTCAATTTAGAGAACACTCCTTTTTCTTGATGCTCTCCTGATACTTAAAATTAAAAATTTCTTTTAAATTTTATTGAAAATGCATCAAAACATTTAAATTTTTGAAACAGACGCATGCGCAGTCATTGTACATTCAATTTAGAGAACAATCCGCCATCTTCATGTTCTCCTGATACTTAAAATTAAAAATTTCTTTTAAATTTCATTGAAAATGCATCAAAACATTTAAATTTTTGAAACAGACGCATGCGCAGTCATTGTACATTCAATTTAGAGAACACTCCGCCAACTTCATGTTCTCCTGATACTTAAAATTAAAAATTTCTTTTAAATTTTATTGAAAATACATCAAAACATTTGAATTTTTGAAACAGACGCATGCGCAGTCATTGTACATTCCATTTAGAGAACACTCCTCCATCTTGATGTTCTCCTAATACTCAAAATTAAAAATTTCTTTTAAATTTCATTGAAAATGCATCAAAACATTTGAATTTTTGAAATAGGCGCATGCGCAGTTATTAAAATTCAATTTAGAGAACACTCCTCCATCTTGATGTTCTCCTAATACTCAAAATAAAAATTTCTTTTAAATTTCATTGAAAATGCATCAAAACATTTAAATTTTTTAAATAGGCGCATGCGCAGTTATTGAAATTCAATTCAGAGAACACTCCTCCATCTTGATGTTCTCCTAATACTCAAAATAAAAATTTTTTTTAAATTTCATTGAAAATGTATCGAAACATTTGAATTTTTTGAAATAGGCGCATGCGCAGTTATTGCAATTTAATTTAGAGAACACTCCTCCATCTTGATGTTCTCCTAATACTCAAAATTAAATTTTTTTTTAAATTTCATTGAAAATGCATCAAAACATTTGAATTTTTAAAATAGGCGCATGCGCAGTTATTAAAATTTAATTTAGAGAACACTCCTCCATCTTCATGTTCTCCTGATACTTAAAATTAAAAATTTCTTTTAAATTTTATTGAAAATGCATCAAAACATATGAATTTTTAAAACCAACGCATGCGCAGTAATTGTACATTCAATTTAGAGAAACTCCGCCATCTTCATGTTCTCCTAATACTTAAAATTAAAAATTTCTTTTAAATTTCATTGAAAATGCATCAAAACATTTAAATTTTTGAAACAGACGCATGCGCAGTCATTGTACATACCATTTAGAGAACACTCCTCCATCTTGATGTTCTCCTAATACTCAAAATTAAAAATTTCTTTTAAATTTCATTGAAAACGCATCAAAACATTTAAATTTTTGAAATAGGCGCATGCGCAGTTATTGAAATTCAATTAAGAGAACACTCCTCCATCTTGATGTTCTCCTAATACTCAAAATTAAAAATTTCTTTTAAATTTCATTGAAAATGCATCAAAACATTTAAATTTTTGAAATACGCGCATGCGCAGTCATTGTACATTCCATTTAGAGAACACTCCTCCATCTTGATGTTCTCCTAATACTCCAAATTAAAAATTTCTTTTAAATTTCATTGAAAATGCATCAAAACATTTAAATTTTTGAAATAGGCGCATGCGCAGTTATTGAAATTCAATTAAGAGAACACTCCTCCATCTTGATGTTCTCCTAATACTCAAAATAAAAATTTTCTTTTAAATTTAATTGAAAATGCAACAAAACATTTAAATTTTTGAAACAGACGCATGCGCAGTCATTGTACATTCAATTTAGAGAACACTCCGCCATCTTCATGTTCTCCTGATACTTAAAATTAAAAATTTCTTTTAAATTTTATTGAAAATGCATCAAAACATTTGAATTTTTGAAACAGACGCATGCGCAGTCATTGTACATTCCATTTAGAGAACACTCCTCCATCTTGATGTTCTCCTAATACTCAAAATTAAAAATTTCTTTTAAATTTCATTGAAAACGCATCAAAACATTTAAATTTTTGAAATAGGCGCATGCGCAGTTATTGAAATTCAATTAAGAGAACACTCCTCCATCTTGATGTTCTCCTAATACTCAAAATTAAAAATTTCTTTTAAATTTCATTGAAAATGCATCAAAACATTTAAATTTTTGAAATAGGCGCATGCGCAGTTATTGAAATTCAATTAAGAGAACACTCCTCCATCTTGATGTTCTCCTAATACTCAAAATTAAAAATTTCTTTTAAATTTCATTTAAAATGCATCAAAACATTTGAATTTTTGAAATAGGCGCATGCGCAGTTATTAAAATTCAATTTAGAGAACACTCCTCCATCTTGATGTTCTCCTAATACTCAAAATTAAAAATTTCTTTTAAATTTCATTGAAAATGCATCAAAACATTTGAATTTTTGAAATAGGCGCATGCGCAGTTATTGAAATTCAATTTAGAGAACACTCATCCATCTTCATGTTCTCCTGATACTTAAAATTAAAAATTTCTTTAAAATTTTATTGAAAATGCATCAAAACATTTGAATTTTTAAAACCGACGCATGCGCAGTAATTGTACATTCAATTTAGAGAACACTCCTCCATCTTGATGTTCTCCTAATACTCAAAATTAAAAATTTCTTTTAAATTTTATTGAAAATGCATCAAAACATTTGAATTTTTGAAACAGCCGCATGCGCAGTCATTGTACATTCCATTTAGAGAACACTCCTCCATCTTGATGTTCTCCTAATACTCAAAATTAAAAATTTCTTTTAAATTTCATTGAAAACGCATCAAAACATTTAAATTTTTGAAATAGGCGCATGCGCAGTTATTGAAATTCAATTAAGAGAACACTCCTCCATCTTGATGTTCTCCTAATACTCAAAATTAAAAATTTCTTTTAAATTTCATTGAAAATGCATCAAAACATTTAAATTTTTGAAATAGGCGCATGCGCAGTCATTGTACATTCCATTTAGAGAACACTCCTCCATCTTGATGTTCTCCTAATACTCAAAATAAAAATTTTCTTTTAAATTTAATTGAAAATGCAACAAAACATTTAAATTTTTGAAACAGACGCATGCGCAGTCATTGTACATTCAATTTAGAGAACACTCCGCCATCTTCATGTTCTCCTGATACTTAAAATTAAAAATTTCTTTTAAATTTTATTGAAAATGCATCAAAACATTTGAATTTTTGAAACAGACGCATGCGCAGTCATTGTACATTCCATTTAGAGAACACTCCTCCATCTTGATGTTCTCCTAATACTCAAAATTAAAAATTTCTTTTAAATTTCATTGAAAACGCATCAAAACATTTAAATTTTTGAAATAGGCGCATGCGCAGTTATTGAAATTCAATTAAGAGAACACTCCTCCATCTTCATGTTCTCCTGATACTTAAAATTAAAAATTTCTTTAAAATTTTATTGAAAATGCATCAAAACATTTGAATTTTTAAAACCGACGCATGCGCAGTAATTGTACATTCAATTTAGAGAACACTCCTCCATCTTGATGTTCTCCTAATACTCAAAATTAAAAATTTCTTTTAAATTTCATTTAAAATGCATCAAAACATTTGAATTTTTGAAATAGGCGCATGCGCAG